ATTTAGTTATTTGTGAACCCCATTGCAAAAATACAAGTATGCAAGATCAGGTTAAATTATTCACTTTTAACTGAGATGTTTATTATCGTCTATTAAACGTTAGGTAATGTGTACTCTGTTAACTTAGCAACAGTATGTTTGTGGAATACAGCTAATCTAGTAATCACAATTGTTTTTTACGCTGTGCGGCCGAATAAGCAGTTTGTGTAAAATATCATCGTTTCACTTGACTATTTAAAGACGTATGTAATAATTAGTGTAACGATACAAATACATACATTAATTATTGGGGACCGGGACACAGAGGTCATTCAATATGAAACATATTTAAACAATTCACTGACGCTGTACTGTAGTGTGGCTGTCGTGCAAAAGCACATGTAGTATATAGTTTTATAATAAAAATAATATTATGTTGTAGTTACACTTATAATACAAAATTTATTGACATGAGTACAGGTTTTGCTTATGACGCGCGACCAAATTGACGCAGAAGAAAAATCATTCTATACAATGCCTAAAACAGTCAGGCAATGTATATACAATGCCGAACATGCGTTAGGCAATGTCCTTTGTTAAATATAGGTAAATAAATATAAATAAATAAATATTAGACAACACCACATACCTACGTTGCTCTGATCCCAAAGTAAGTAGCTAAAGCACTTGTGTTATGGAAATCGGAAACAACGACGGTACCACAAACACCCAGACCCGAGACAATATAGAAAAGTTAGTTTCTACACTGACCCGGCCGGGGATCTAACCTGGGACCTCAGAGATGGCGACACCTTGAAAACCGGTGTGCAAGCCACTCGACCACGGAAGGCGTCAAATAGGTCAAATAGGTACACAACACATTACGATAACAGGAAGTGCATATGTGTTAAGAAGAATATTTTATGCACCGCCAAGTGTCACAATAGTTCATCTTGTAAGAATAAGTAGCTAATTAGAAGCGTTGGTAATTAAATTACGAATGATATTTGATTAAGAAAATTCCTATTTTTTAGAACAAAATATTATAATATGTATGTATTATACCTAGTAGCAATAAAAACGAATACTCTAAATTTGCACGCTACACAAATCAAACTCAATGTACCGGTTAAAACTATTTGAACTGGCAACAAATCCAATAAATCTTTGAATAATTTTCGACCGATCTCGGAAACGCAAACTTACGGTTCGGGCAGCTAACCTAACCTAAGCCCACGGGAGAAGGTCGAACCAACTCGGAAACGCGTAACAGAAATTACTAATTAGATTTTTTTGTCTTTTACGTGGGGCGCATTTTAAGTTTCCGGAATGAATAAGAAAAAAGTACTATAAATGGTCAGAAATGAATTTATAGTTTTTCAAAATATTCTCCGTTAGCGTTAAAGCAAGCTTTTTCGTAGGAATAAACCACGGAGGAGTGGCATAAAAAACATTTATACCACTCCTCCGTGACATCTTTGAAACATATTTTTCATACTCTTCGACAGCCTCTTCAGGTGATGAAAATAGTTGACCGCGTAACTGGTTCTTAATTTTTGGAAATAAACAAAACTCACAACCGCATATGAGAACTGGCATTATCGTGGTGCAAGATGATACGGCGTTTACGGTTATTTTTACGGAGTTTTTCAATAACTTCCGGCAAACAAACAGTCGTGTACCAATCACTATTCACGGTACAACGATTCTCCAAAGCAAGCGTAGCCACATGTCCAGTTTTATTAAAAAAAGAAGCAATCATCCACTTGGAAGCACTTTGCACGCGCGCCACTTTGGTCGGTTTCGACTCATCTCCAAAGACCCATACGCTCGATTGCTGCTTTGTTTTGGGATCGTAACTATAAATCCATGTTTCGTTACCTGTTACTATGTCCCACACCAAATTTGACGCCCCTTCATTGAAACTGGTAAGCATGGCATTGCACCAAGTGACGCTATCCGTTTTTTGAGCCTCAGTCAAATTGTGTGCGATCCACCGAGAGCACAGATTTTTCACACCCAAATGTTTGTGTAGTATCGATTGTATTTGACTCATTCCTATGCCTAAAGATGCCCGAACCTCATGGTATGTGACATGCCTGTATGTTTTGATCATCGGCGCACAGCATCGATGTTTTTGTTGTTCACAGCAGTGGACGGGCGACCATCACGAAATTCGTCACTGAGATTCACACGAATTCTACAAACTGCGTTTGAATTCTGCAAACCAGCTATAAATAGTCGTCTTGCATGGTGCTTCATCGCCAAAAGCAGTTTGAAGCTGTTAAATTACACTTAAAACCGTAGAAAATTATATTAGGAAAATTTTCACGAGTGAAATCCATGGTGACGTAGACAACCAATTTCTAAAATGACGCCACAATGTAAAAACTAGCGACAGTCACGTGAAACAAACTGTATTCTACAGCCAAAGAGTTCTATTTTCAAATGTTGTAATTACTTTTTAAATATTGTTTATGTAAATGGCCAGTTCCGGAAACTTCTAGTACGCCCTATGTATTTAATGTTGTGCCAAATCTACGGCTGGCATTCTATACAATGCCTAGTATTCTACGCAATGCCTAAGAAACGTGTTCTATAGAATGCCTGAATAAATACATTGTTGTTAACATATACACTCTTTTTAAACGTTATGTAGTCACTGTTTTTGCATTCGTTTTATTATAGCGTTTAGTATTTATTACTAATTTAGTAGCATTGTTGTTCCTCTGCGACGCGTATTTATTTAAACGAGGAACGTCAAACGAGCGCACAAAATATGAGCAATTCACAAATCAATAACTGTGAACAGGAAAACCAACCACCTTATTTTAATGACACCTTCGGCCTGACGTGATCCTCTCAATCCATCAAAATGGTGTTGGGTTACAAAATTAGTCGTTATCAGATACTACCGTTCTACTAAGTGTCTAGTATTTCTTCCATAAAATATGTGCTCCGTAGATGTTGATTTATGGACAATGTTTACACCGAAGAACCTCTATATAAATGAGAATATTGCCCACAATCTATTATGTAGAGCTAGATGAGCGCCAGCGTGCAATTCGTAGACGGCGCGGGCGCAAGCGCTGCGGGCAGGCGCGGTGCGCAGGGGGCTCGTTCGACGGCATTCCTCGCGTGAATCAGCTGCTTCGTGGAGGTAAGTAACAGGTAGAGTGGACGCCAGCTAACCCATGGCCACCATCGATTTATTAGTTCATTTGTGTACAATTCATTTGTGAACAAAAGTCATCAACGCAATAATAAGTTTAAACCTAACTACTTTATAACTTTACTAGAAAAAAAGATCATATACAAGCTTTAGTTGAAACCAACTGTGATCACATGTATGTATAACCTCCACGTATAACGAGATATCACTGGTCATCTTGCTTAACATTCGTCATTTAAATATATTTAATAAGAAACATGTGACAACATGTTTCTTTTGTGTTATGGATTTAATAACATGTTTTTTTAATATAAGCAGCTGTAGAGCCAAATTTCGGAAAAGTGAAATAATGAAGTACGTAATATAAGGGGGGCTACATACAGCGCTGCGACCCGTAATGACCACGCACATCTCCCTATCCGAAGGAATGTTATCGCCAGCGCACAACTGCCTCCCTCCCCTTCCCCAACCCCATCGTACCGGAGCTCATTACGACCTCATTAAAACATAATGCATCGCCAAATGATGGCGATTAACTGTGATATCTCTATGAAACAAAAAGTGTGCCACTTGGCATATTCGCAGGGAATGGCTAAACGATCTTCTTACAAAATGAGACTTGAGGGATTTCATACGATGAACCTTGAAAAACGTAGGGACGGAATAGATCTTATTTTTCTTTACAAGTTACTACGAAACCAAATTGATTGTCCGATTCTACTAAGCCAAATAACATTTAGTGTGCCTCATAGATACCCCCGATACTCTATCCAACCACTTTGCCCACCTCTTCGAAGAACCAAAATTGGTACGAAGTCACCCATATACAAAATTTGTAACTTGTATAATATAAATAGTGAATATTTGGACGTACATGCAGATTGTTTGCCTTTGTAAAAAAAAAATATTAATATAAAATAGCATATTTGTTGTCTAAACGTAGGTAGTTATTAGTATTTATTTCTAATAATATTACACAGCTGAGTTACATGTTATAAGTTCGTTTGCCATTTTTTTTCCATGAGACGTTTAACTGTACTTAGATTTAAAATTACATTTAAAACCACAAATTGTTGTACCTAGGAAATAAGTCACAATGTAATAGTTGTTGATAAAAACCAAATAAATTAAAAAATATATATTACAAGTCACCAAAGTAAGTCGAGCACTTCAACTACTACAACAGCAAACCATTATCACTACTTAATGGTTTCTTATCGGGTAACTAGTAAGTTTAGAGAGTGCGATGCTGCACAATATCGTGGACACATGTCGTGTTATACCGATATATTGAGGCTCACTCGATCTATTTCGTACAATACATACATATCTTCAGCACAAGCTGTCCTAGCTATGTGTATAAACATCTGTGACTTCAACGTTCTACGATGTTACCAATTCGAGCACCATTGACACAACTGTGCAGGAAGGCACTCGCGCGAATTTCGGCGCCATTGGAACGATCGGTGTCGGTGAGTCACCAGCGAGCTATTTTCGTTTTTAAGTGAGAAACGAGCAATAACGACAACTATCGACGTAACTGGCACAAAAAATTAATTCCGTACACATAACATATTTTGTTTAGTATAATAACGATGAAACTGTTCTTCAGCATTGCAAAAAAAATTGAGCTAGTGCACTTACTATGTAACCATAAAAACTAACAAAAGGCAAGGTAGATATTTTAATGACTATCAAGTGACAACGGGATGAACAAGTCGTGCGCCTGGTGGTAAGCATCACACCTACCCATAGCAGACGCAGTGCCACTCAACTTCAACGCAAAGATGTGAGGGAAACCGCCACTGCAAGGTAGAGTTAGATAAAATCAAATAGGATTTGAACGAACCCGCATGCGCGAATGCAAGTAGCTGCGTCGCCGCCAGCAGCAACATCAGCAGCCGCGGCCGCCGCATGCCGCTCTTAGACCTGCAACAATACACAACACACGTTTAACCACTTTGGCTACATCGCAAACACATCTAACAACCGATAGTGGATTGCCCTACAAATGGTACTGCTTGCACTTGCTGAGTTCACTTCGGTTCAGTTCATAATAACAATCGAAGCAGACCAACAAAGTTTTAGTTCAATATTGTAAAATGTAAACAGTTAAAGAAAATAAACTATTCTCATCCTTATTATTGTATCTATTTTAGACTCTCGCCTCTCCCAAGGCCTAAAAGATTAATTTCGAATTTTCAAACGAGATAGGCGGTATTTCCCGGCAATGGCACAGTCGGCCGGGGTCAAGGACTCAGGTCTAAGAACCGGCGAACAATACGTGCCGTATCGAGCAGGACCGCCTTCTGCATTTGTGCTGGAAGCGGCATGCCACAGAAATCCAACCGTCTCAAGCTGTTAGAAAGGCGGACTGGAATTAACCCATTTACGAACAAAACACTTGAGATTATTTCAGTGGAGGCCAAATGCTATATATCGGTAATCTCGTGCGCCAGGTCGAGATACTTCCGGCGTTTCTCGGTTTCGGCTTTCACGAGACCCTCGTCATGCGGGATGGTAACGTCCACAAGAAATACCCTCGACTGCGATCGATGCAATATCACAATATCAGGCTTATTCGCAAGAATAGTCCTGTCCGTGATAATGGATCGATCCCAATAAATTTTGGTGCGGTCATCTTCGAGTACTGGCTCCGGTGAATACTTGTAATATGGCAACCTCTGTTGCACGAGTCCGCACTTCCGAGCGCGCTCTTGGTGTGTCTAATATTTTGGATGCCTGGTTGTATGTGTGCAAGTACTCAGTGTTAGCAAGAGCGAAACAACCGGAAACAATACGCCTAAGTGACTCTGCGGGACGGCCACATGCCCGACAAATGTCTACTGTACCGTCCTTTAGGATATATTTCCGATAGTTCCGCGTCTTTGCACACACAAAACCTACAGTTTCCCCAAAGAGGTCCTCGAAACGTAGCCAATTATCCTTATTATTATTATATAGTAAAGGTAATAAATAATAAATGTACTTATAAATATAACACAAACTTTGCGCCTGCGCCTGCTCCCGACGTCACGAAACTACTGTATTGTTGTAGTATTCATAAAAATGCCATATAATCATTACGAACTCTGTCGAAGCTACCATCTTACGGGCTTCCAAAAGGGCTGTGCACTTGGATCGCCAGCTTCCACCATGGACACCATGCTCATTTACGGTTCGCGTTCGCGTAACGCGTTCCGCAAGGATCTGTGCTCACCAACCCTGTTCATCCTGCATATCAATGATATGTTATCAACTAGTAGCATTCATAGCCATGCGGATGACAGTACCGATAAATCCTATTATACAGGTTGCACAAATATACACCAGCAAGTGGAACAAAACAGACGGCAACTTGTGTCCAAAAGCGAGACTTCTTTGGAGCAGGCCTCAGAATGGGGCCGACAGAATCTAGTACAATTTAACCCCGCAAAGATACAAGTGTGCGCGTTTACCGCTAAAAAATCCCCATTCGTAACAACGCCAAAGTTCCAGAACACTGCCCTTACCATCTCAAAGAGTATTGGGATACTTGGAGTCGACATAACGAACAGTTCCGAAGTCTTTGGACAGCAAAGCCAAACTGGCTTCAAATAAACTCGGAGTGCTCAATCGAGCGAAGCAGTACTTATGTCTTAGGGTGACGGGCGCAGTGGTAGTGCCATCTTTGCAATTTAAAGCTCTGAGTGTTACTGTCACTGTTACGGACAGGCGTGTAGCTTACCATCAGGCGCACGACTTGTTCGTCCCGTCACTTGAGGTTACAAAATAAAACTTTTCTCCAAGTCACCTACTTTTGTTATATAAAACACAAGTACGGTCCGATATGGAGTATTGCTCGTATCTCTGGGCAGGAGCTCAGGAGCTCCCAAATACCATCTTGATCCAAATGACTTCATCCAACGTAGGGCTGTTCGTATTATCGATGATCCCAAACTAACAGACGGTATGGAGCCCCTTAGCTTACGGAGAGACGTTGACTCTCTGTGTGTGTTCTACCGTCTTTATAATGGGGAGTGCTCTGAGGAACTTTTCGAACTGGTGCCATCGTCTCGTTTCTACCATCGCACCTCCCGCCAAAGGAGTAGAGTCCATCCCCACATCTTAGATGCCTGACATTGTAATACCACGCGGGCATCTCGTTCGTATCTTCCTCGAACATGCAGGGTGTGGAATGATCTTCCTCCTGAAGTATTTCCTTTCCGCTATGACATGGGGTTCTTCAACAAGCATGTTTACAGGCTCTCAAAGGCTGGCAACGCATAGGCAGCTTATCTGATGTTGCAAATGTCCAAAGGCGACGATGACCTCCTCCTATCAAGTGGCTCGTCTGCTCGTTTGCCTCCATCTTTACATAAAAAAAACTAATAATGCGCACTGGGTAGCGATAAAAGTATACGTTGCCGCTTTACGCGAACATTGCTCGCCATCTGCGTCAGTATCGAATCAATAATTATACTAAGATCGATTGAAGATGATTGAACCGAACAAAAAACTGTGAGAATAGAGTTACAAGCTGAATGCGAACCCTCTTTTAAGTCGTGATGGCGAGATGGCAGTATCAATCGGCATGACGACACCCGACCAAATTGCCCCAATGTAGCACCCTTAACCGGCGATGAAGACAGACGGACGAAAACGGGTGAGTCACGCGACGTTTCGGGTCGCCGTGTCGTAGCAGACTGCGATCGCTGACCGCAGCACGTAGCGCCATTGCCTCGGCACTCATTTTCCAATCAAGCAGGCTTCTCAATAGAATAATTCCTGCGCCCGTTCCCACTGTATCCTATTAGCTTTCCGTGTGAAAGTTCGTTGCGAACGTCTACTTGATCTCGTTCCTCAACGAGACCCCGTTTCATGTGACACCCAAATTGCCCATTCGGGGCTTAAATTACTGTACGATAATAGCGTTACTAGAATGAAATACTAAACCGGATGTGAAAGTGGAGCAGTCGCTTCATCATGTATGAATTGCAATTTTGCAATTCTGGTCAACAAAATAGTTTCATTAAACAAGAAACGTTTTGCGATTTTCGTTCACACATTCACCGATCGGTAAACATCAAATAGGAAAGCCGTTAAACATTGGCAATGAGTGCGTACATTAATACCGAGTCGTCGTCGCGGCGTGCGGCGCGCGACGTGCACGACCAATCTCGGTGCAACAACGGGCACGGGGACGTTGACCCGATAAAGTGTCCAAATCTTAAATCGAATATGTACAAGAAGCTAGCGGTGCTGTGTGCCGTGCGTCCAGTGCGCTGGCACAACTAGCACATGTTGAAGGCGGCCAAAGACGCTGGCGCCATCCGATACCGCTCCAATATTCTTTTACGGTTAAGTGTTTTTGCCATCGATCTGTGTCAGATCCGGTGCGGAGGTCAGGAGCAGCTAACACTAATTCTATCTAGGAACGCGTACAGAGAGCCGGTTTTGTTAAATTGTAGAGTATGCAAAACATTAATCGTAAAGTGAACACATAAATAGGAAACAAACAAAATCAGAAAAGGTAGTCTTCACTTATAATCTCAAGCTAGGTATATATATGCAGGTGCATAGAAAACGATATAAGAGATATAAGAAAGTGATGTGAGTATAGAAATTTAAATCTGTCCTCGCCCCTATAACTATAAATCTGACAGGGTGAGTTCATGCTCTCCCGTTGGAGGGACCGTGGATTAATGAAAGAGGCGCTTCCTTCCTTGAAAGAGGAGCAGCAAACATTGATTTACGCGGCGCGTCACCCGCGGCCTCATTCAATCAAATCAAAATACCCACATTCGAATGTACAATCACACGAATGATAACAATATGAAGTGTGCAGTTGTGCAGCATTCGTGACAAGCAAGTTTATTTATTTGCCAAATAAAATAATAAAATAAAAATAAAATATATTGTAATATAATGAAACCCATAATTATCATCAAATTGGAATTTTGTGAACCTCATCGATAACCTCGTCGTCCTAGAGATCGGTTGAGTAGTAAAAGTGGAGCGCTGGCCACTCCTTGTATCATCCGTATGGAAGCGAGTCGCGACAAATTGGTTAAGACTGAGAACGGTGATGGCACGCCGCGAACGGCGAACTACATACACTCTACGTTCGTTTTCGCACACACGGAGATATTTGCAGGTTTGTCAAGCTTTTGAAGCTGCCAAAATCCGTAGCACTGCCTAGCTTTAAGGCCTAGGCCATTAATGGTGAACGGAAACTTTCTTCAGCAGTTTACTTTGTGTTCCTATCTATGTCTGCATCAAATTCGACTTATTTTTATAATATCAAGTAATGGAACGGACAAGTCGTGCCCCTGATGATAAGCTACACACCTGTCCATAACAGTTGCAGTGCCACACAGAGCTTTAAATCGCAAAGATCTGAGGGGCACTACTATTGTGCCCATCACCCTGAGGCGTAAGTTGACAAGTCCAATGTGCCTGTATTTCACCAACACCCTTACCCTTCAAAACCGGAACGCAGTAATGCTAACATTACTACTTGGCTTCAGAAATGGTTAATTGGCAGTACTTAGATGTACTGCCAGTACTTAGATGTATGACTATATAGATAGTTATACAGTTTTCTTAGAGGAGACCCTTGGCTTACAGCAGCGCGTAGAATGGGTTTATATTGATTATCGTAATGATGTAAGGCGTGTCCATAAGTGACGATATGTAAAAAGCAGCCAAGTTATAAGAAAACAACAAATAGTGGTGCGTAGTTTTTACATAAGCCACGAAGTCCGGCTGATTCGTTTTGAAACACGCCACCCCAGTAGGGTGAAAATTTTTGTACAAGGCGTCGCGGATATAATTAACAATACACAGAGCATTTAATGCTACGTTGCAAATAGAAAGAAGGCGTCAGCGGATGGATTTGAAAAGAGCAATCCCTAGAGTTTCTTGCTCGTCCTTCTCAGGAAGGTCAG